GCTAAAATATCCAGGGCAGTGGGAGATCCCACTGCTTGAGCCCCTGTTCCGGCTCGATCTTCGGTTTGTGAAGGGGTCGACGCCGTAGTGACTTTTGTCACTCTTGCACCGCCCGCTTCTGCTGCCTGTCCTTCCGGCGCAATCTGCGCGGAAGGTGTCCTTGCTGAAGGTGCGTCCGCCGAAGGCGTCCGCACACTGGTCGTTGGCCCCATCCGTCTTGCAGTCGGCGAATCCGGCTGACTCTCTGTTGTCCGACTCGCAATCGGCCGACCATTAGTTGTCCGACTGGGAGTCGGATACACCCTGCGCGTCTTGACTCCACTTGGCCTACTTGTTGGTGGCGTTCTTCCAGAAGTGCCTTCCGCCGAAGACGACCCTCTGAGGATTGTTGGCTCGTCAGCCAAACTCTCTCCCGCTTCCGGCCTGCTGTCCGGTTCAACGCGCCGTTCAGTTGGCCTTCCTTCCGTCTGTCGACTTTCAGTCATCCGACTCGCAGTCGGCCGGTCGTCAGTCCGTCCATCTCCTCCCGAAGGCCGTGGTGCCTTCTGTGCAGAGGTTTCTGCCGTCTTCCCTAGAACCTGAGTGATTATCTCTTCCTGTGTGAGATTCCGCCGGGTCGGAGTTCGCCTGGTCTCCTCAGTAACAGTTGGCATTCTGCGTGCCCTCTGTTTTGGTCGACTATGAGGCTCGGGGGTGGGCCGACCACGAGTCGGCGCAGCTGGTACTTCCGGCTGCCTGTCCTCAGGTCTCTCATCCCACTTCCGCTTGCGCGGAATGCGCTCACTTCGACGTTCTTCTGCTGCTCTGGCTGGAGCCGGAGCCGGAGGCGTACTGGCAGGTTCCTCGTCCGGATCCGTGTCTACTTCGGCCTCCCTCGAATATCTACCTGGATAAGACCGGCTCAGCTGCGGAAACCGAGTTTTCTCAGCATTCGTCAAACATCCCATCGCCCGGTAAAACACGATTAAGTAAGGCGATAGATGATTGAGCGTTCCTCCCCTCTCTTCTTGCGCATGTTGGCGCGTCACCTTCCACAGAAGTCGTGCCCAATGCACCGGAGCTCCTGACAACACTAGCTCCACGAACTCTACCTGCCAACCATGCATGTAAGCGGTCTTGGTCGGCTGCAATATCTGCAGCAATGCTGTCGCGACATTTCTCCGCAATCGATCCTTGTAATCCCGAGTCCGGAAACCGTTCTTGGGATGTCTAGCCACCTTGAAGAGCTCATTGTAAGAGACTTCTTCCTCTTGGGACACTTTCACGCTGTCGGCCTCGAAGAGGAGATCCCCTTCCTCGCCGGCACACCTGCCCAACACCTGCGCCCAATTGCCAATTTCCCATCTCTCTGGGTGTGGGCGAAATCCGCGAGAAGGCTTGTGTCTCTCTTGCAGATACTCGCGCACCATCTCCGGACACGTCCAATTCCACCCCCATAGGAGAAAATCGAGCTTCAACCTCAACAGCACATCTTGAAATGCGCGTAGACCGATCTGTGGCACCCTGAGTGGAGACACTCGCAGCTGGGGAACCTTCGACATTGCGTTGCCTGCACACACACAAACGTTCTCCCTTTCGCTCGCTCTCTCACAATCGCCACTGCGCGTCGGCCACTCAAGCACTGACTGCTCACTCTCTCTGCGCTCGTTCGAGATCGCTACTCCAATTCTTTCAAGGTCCGCCAAGATCCTTGCGCAACTCGTCTCCGCACTCTCTACTCTCACTGCAGGTCGCTCCGCCCTTGCGCGTAATCTTGGAACTGGAAATCGCAAAGTCAAGAATGAGAGAATGAGACTGGAGCGCAGTCTTTTCTTCTCCGATTTCAAAAACGTCCAACGTTCTTACTGGTTGCAACGTACGCAGCCGGCTATACGGCTTAACGGTTCGCCCTTTGCATGCGCGAATTCACGTCTCCGCCTTGCGCGCATTCGCATGCTTAAACGTTGAATTCTCCCGCCGCCGCCACCTTCCGGACTCGAGTCCGCTGCAGGGTATACGTCGGCCCTGTTGTCTTTTCCTAACCCGCCCTTCTCCGGAGGCGTGTCGCCGCTGGTGTGTTCATTATCCGTCGGCGCCTTGCTGGAGGCGCACATCCAGCCGGAGCGAATTACGCCGGCGCGCAGTCGTACCGCCTATTTTGTCCTTTATGCCTCGTCCGTTGCTGCCAGCGCATATCCGTCAGCGCAACTCATGCCAGCGCATCCGGCCGTCAGCGCCACGTCGGAGGCGTACATCCGACCGGCGCTTTCCTTCCATGAACAGCCGCCAAGGGCGCTTCCGACTCTGAGTTGGTTTCCTTCTGTGAGCGCGTGATTCCGCCGAAGGCGCATCGCCGAGGGCGTACGGGAATCCTTTCCGGCTGTGAACCCTAGCGCGAACGGCGCATGTCCGGCTACGAGTTTTCCGACGCTCATAACTTCTCCATTCCTGATCCATCTCCGGCGCTCTTGGACTCGTTAGAACGAGCGTCCCGAGCTCTGTCTAATGCAACTTCCACCAACTGGATCTACCGTGTATCCCGATTGTTATGAAGGTTTTCCCTTTCCGCGCTAGCGGCGCTTCGCCGAAGGCGCACTCATGGTCGGATGCCTTTAGAGGTCCGGGCCCTTCTCCTGACGTCTTTAGCAAAACCTCCTCCTGAGGTGTCTGCGCCGGAAGCGTAGCTTCCTTATACGCTAGAGGCGCGTGAGTAGAGATACCTCAAAAAGGGGCTTCTGCCAAAGGCGCCGAAGACGTTGGCGTTGGTACATCCGACTACGTGATTCTTTGTGCCCTCGTGACGATCTCATCAATCCACTCTATTTAGCGTACCCTTCTCTAGCTACAAACACTGCTTTGGTACTAGTTTTCTGAAATTGTTTAAATTCTGCAAAAAAAACAAAAAGTGTGTTACCACACGGGTACAGAACCTTAAGATTGTAATGGATAAGAGATCAAATGCAATGGGTGAGAGATCAAATCTAAATCCTTCATCTCTTCAGAATAAATGCTCATAATTTATATTTGAAACCCTAAAACCCCTACTTCTTTTTGTCTCTCTCTCTACTTTTTTTATGCTAACTACAAAGTTAATCCATCACAAATCTTCTCCTCTCAAATTCGTAGATTATGCGGGCATGTTGGCGAGATATGTTCATATCCCCACCAAGACCTGCCAAATCTCCATCCACAAAAGTCTTCTTACTGTTACTTCCTAAAATGATGGAGTATGTTTGCATGTACTATTTGAAGTCCTCGCCTTGAAGCTTCGCGATACCAGCTTCTAGTTCCCCCCATTGCACGGTTACTATTTTTTCCCACCTCCCGATCACTATCTAAATGATCACATCTCTCGCGCAGTTTGCTCTATATTCTGTGACCACAAGTTTCAAGCCACAGTTCCACCTTTGTTCTCGAGCAAGGTTGGCCTTTCACCTCCTGCGACCTGCTATCCCACTCGAGGGGCCAAACCGATCAAATTTCATAAAAATAACTCATTTCATCCAACATGTCTCATTTTCTCAGCCCATTCTGTACCCTAACTAACTCCCGTATATGACTAGAGGACGTTGTTGATCCTACGAACAGGTGGAGATGCACCACATAAAAAGACTAAGTACCGTTGTCTAGCCGCAGATTGGAGGGGTTGTTCGATGGTGTAGGATACTGCATCAAGACATGAAGCTTAGTATGTCCGGGACTACTCTGAAGTAAAATTGCCAAAATTCGTCACGGGTTAAACTCTTGCACTAACATCAGACTGCAAAACTGCAAAAAGCATGTCATTCTCACTGATACTCTTCAAAGTAGGAACTGTTTTCATCTTCAAGGCTGCAGCAAGATCAGCTTCGCTATTGACATCTAGTTTCACGGCCCACACGAGATACTTTCGGCTGTCAATAATCCTCTTGATCAGGGTCTCTAGCTCCTTCAATAATGCCCAGCCATCTACTCCACTGGAGCCGTATCGTTCAAAGTGGAAAACGATAAGCGGAGTAGGGTCTTGCAGTGCAACTAAATCCCACTCAAGAAAATTAGTTTCTCAAACTATCCACTGATACTCTTCTTGTTCCCACTTGAGAGACAAGTCCGTATCACCTTCATCATCATCAGCAGTCTTTCCCTCTTCGTCTTAAATATTTTTCCCATCTTATCCATTCCGGCCTTCACGGCTCATCGCCATGTACAAAGACCTCAAACTCTGCAACCTGATCTAAATCAACATGTATTCACAGCCCACTAATTGAATCTAATGCGAAGAGCTCGGAGCGAATCCGAACGAAGGTGAATGTCCTCATGTGAAGAGAAGAAGCGGACCAAGAGAGGATCAGGCAGAATCAGGAGTCGTCCAAATCTTTCTTCTGAAGCAGATCGAACTTTCTGGTCGAACTCACATCACAATGCCGAATCTCGCCATGTACCCTTTTCTCCGTCTTTTGTGTTCTTCGCAATTCCCCGCGCCAAAATCAACACTTCAATTCCTCCTCGGACCATCTACTCCTCCTACCTCCAAGAAATCCTCTTCACGCACACCCCAAACGGCAATACTCCCAAGTTCTTCAAGTGAAATCTTTAACAAATTGCGAATCTCACATAAAGTCAAAACAAGCCCACTCCACGACTAGTAAAATTCATTTTGATGTTAACATGACATCATAGCTAGTACATTAAGAGCTATTCCCAATGCTAAAGCCTCAACTCTAAGATTTGAAGTTTATTCGACCCTGACTCATTGATTGACAACCACTTCATATACCTGCAACTTGCTTTCCTTGATGATGCACAATGGAGGATGAGTGAAGTGAGTTAAGCGTGAGTTGTGGATGAGTCCGTTGGATGTGAGAGTAAACGTTCTTTAAGCCAACGACATGCATGCATAAGGTGCAGAAATATGGAATCCAGAGAAGGGTCGAGACAGGTTCATTCTTTTCAAAGAAGTCTTCCCCGATGCCTTTTTTACAAGCATTTGAAAAAATTCCGTCGGATCCAAAAGCCAGAGTGTTTGAAAGCAGCTTCATTTTGTAGATGGTCGATAGTGATCTCCAGATTTTATATGACTTGAAAAGTTGCATCTCTAAGCTCAATCTCATCTGATGCAGTTAGTTAGCTCCATGGACCATGGCATGTTCGTTTTTGTGGGTCACTGGAGTTCTTCAGTGACCGACATAGATCGCAAATGTTCTCTTCTTTGACAAATCCAAAAATCTCTCATCTCCCTGCTGTGTTAGTAGCCCAAATGGTTTCATTTGCTGCGTTGTACATGACAACGTTGCCATCGTCCTGAATGTCGATGCGGTGAGCTCCATCATTACGCGCCCAAGTATTCGATGCCCAGCGTGCGTCCCTTGGTGCTTGTAAAGCCCAGCGTTCAACACCGCCAACGTACACTACAGCGTTTCCATCGTGTTGCAGCTCCATATGACCATCCGAGCCGCTGCCAGCGGTATTGCTGGCCCACAGACGTCCGACACCAGTTTGATACAGGACCAAGTTGCAATCAGCCTGCATGATAAACCTGTAGACTCGATTTCTGGATTCGACAAACTGTCCGCTACTCAGTCTCATTCCCTGGGTGATGCGCCCGCTCGATGTGTTGGTAGCCCAAATGGCTTCATTTGCTTCATTGTACATGACAGTGTTGCCATCGTCCTGAACGTCGATGTGATGAGCTCCATCATTACGCCCACAAGTGTTCGAAGCCCAGCGTGCAACGCCACCACCGTACACTACAGCGTCCCCATCGGATTGCAGCTCCATGTAACAATCCGAGGCGCTGCCAATGGTATTGCTGTCCCACAGAGGTCCGACACCAGTTTGATACAGGACCAAGTTGCAGTCAGCCTGCATGATAAACCTGTAGACTCGATTTTTGGAATCCACAAACTGTCCGCTACTCAGTCTCATTCCCTGGGTGATGCGACTGCCTGCTGTGTTGGTAGCCCAAATGGCTTGATTTGCTTCATTGTACATGACAGTGTTTCCATCGTCTTGAACGTCTATGCGGTGAGCTCCATCATTACGCCCCAAAGTATCCGAAGACCAGAGTACAACACCGCCACCGAACACTACAGCGTTTCCATCGGATTGCAGCTCCATATAACCATCCGAGGCCATTCCCTCGGTACGGCTGGCCCAAAGATGTCCGACATTAGTTTGATAAAGGACCAAGTTGCAGTCAGCCTGCATGATTAACTTGTAGACTTGATTTTTGGACATGACAAACTGTCCGCTACTCAGTCTCGTTCCCTGGGTGATGCGACTGCCTGCTGTGTTGGTAGCCCAAATGGCTTGATTTGCTTCGTTGTACATGACAGTGCTGCCATCGTCCTGAACGTCGATGCGGTGAGCTCCATCATTACGCCCGCCAGTTCCCGAAGCCCAGCGTGCAACGCCACCACCGTACACTACAGCGTCCCCATCGGATTGCAGCTCCATGTAACAATCCGAGGCGCTGCCAATGGTATTGCTGTCCCACAGAGGTCCGACACCAGTTTGATACAGGACCAAGTTGCAGTCAGCCTGCATGATAAACCTGTAGACTCGATTTTGGGACATGACAAACTGTCCGCTACTCAGTCTCATTCCCTGGGTGATGCGATTGCTAAGGGTCGGTGAGTTTCCGAAGTTTATGGTATACTTCGCTTGGAAGTTTCTCGGATTGTACAAACCCCAGCTCTTCTGTAAGCCAGCAGCCTTCTGATTCTCGTCGAACATTGCAAGAATGTAAGTCTGGATTCCCCAGTTGGGCTTGAGTGGCGTTCCTCCTCTAGATAAGTTCACCAGATTTTGGTTGTGGATCCGAGCGTTGTTCGTATCTGTGGCAGTGCCTCCTGAAGTGGGCCAGCCGATCTCCCCAAGGACCACGCGCATCTCTTCCTGCCCCAATCTCCCCAGAGCTGCATAAACTGCGTCCAGCTGCTGTGCGAGAAGATTTGTATATATCTTGCCATTGTTTGAATCTATGACAGAACCAGATTCAAGACGGCCATATTGCAACGTGATTTGCCCATTGGAGTTTATGTACGTGAAGTAAGGGTAGATGTTGCAGATAAAATCGGATCCTACCCTGGCCAGCCAGTTCACCAAGGGCTGCATCCTTCCGGTGTCAGCGAACTGGCCGCTAGATGGGGGGAAGATGTTCGTGACGACGTCGAAAGAGTGAGCTGTTGTGACCTTGATCCCACTCTTAGCTGCCAGATTCAGCGCCTCTCTCAGATTCTTCATCGAAGGCAGCAGTGCGTTTTTCAAATTGTCCGCCGGCGAAGTAAAGACTTCGGTTCCCACCGTAACAGCGACGATGTTACTGGAGCCATAAGGGACGATGTTGCGATCGACCCACCTTTTGGCAGAGTTCACACTTGATAAGGCCCTGAGGATATCTGCGTTCGTTATGCCCACGGTGAGCTGAATGCCGCTGTTGGAGAAAGCCTGGAGCGTGCCCTGGTAAGTGTGGTAGAGGCGGACGCGGGTGATGCCCAGATCTCGGAACTTCCGGACGACCTGGATCCTGCTGGGGATGTTGGAGCCTTCTTCCCCGAAACAGATCCCTGTCCAGCCGCCTGCCATAAAATTGCTGGAAAATCAGCACTATAGCTGGCCCAGATGTCGGAACTTCTGAACGACCTGGGTCCTGCTCGGGATGTTGTACACTTCTTCCCCGAAACAGATCCCTGTCCAGCCGCCTGCCATAAAATCGCTGGAAATTCAGGACTATAGCTGGCCCATATGTCGGAACTTCTGGACGACCTGGATCCTGCTCGGGATGTTGGAGCCTCTTCCCCGAAATAGATCCCTGTCCAGCCCCCTGCCATAAAATCACTGGAAAATCAGAACTATGGTTCGCCCCAATGTTCAACTCGAAAACAATTTAGCTGAAACTATAAGTGTTATGAATCACTGAAGCCTCAAGGTCATCGAATTGCTGAATCGAGAAATGTTTCTGCAGTTTATCCCGAGAACCTCGAACAGAGGATATATCAGAGGGTTCTGATTGACATGTCCGAGTGCTGTGCTTAGTAAGGTGCGAGGGTCAAATACTCACCAGTCAACCCAATTCTTCGTGTCAGAGCCCAAATGCATAGAATGAACTTTGAGCATTTGGAAAGCAAACCACTCACGTGTCGGAAGCCATTATGAAAGCCCTCGCCGTGTCGAGAAGCCATTATGAGCCATAGCCATAGATTCGATTCTTTCTGTAGAGAATTCGCTGCTTTCCAAGTTGCTGTGCAGTCTTTCAGTGGAGACTTCGCTGCTTTTTTGTCTCAGGACTTTTTCTAAGTCATCAAAGTCTTTCACTCTCACAAAAGAAACATGTACAGGACAATTTACAGTAAATCACAGTTAATATTACGAAAAGTACCTTCTATGTATATTCTGATTCTTGACAACTTTGGTTGTTGGCAACAGAATTATTGTTCATCCAAAAGATGGAACTTCATCACTTTTTTAAATGTGTTGTAAATATAATCAAAACAAATAAGTTTGAAAGATGTAAAAGAAACACAAATGTCATGTCCACTTCCATAAATCGGTGTAAATTCCAATATTATTATGGAATTGAAAGAAGGAACTTCACGGGCCATCTATCATCTGCTTCAACATTTTTGAATTCCTTGGACTGGAACTTTGACGAGAATAAGTTACTATAATATGATATAAAATTCCTCATTCTGACTTCTTGTAACAAAGACGCGCAGTAAACTTAACTCACCTTCGAATGTAGAGAACACAGCAAGCTCACGTCTGTGTCCAAGAGATGCATGCAGTTTTTGAAACCTACAGACGTCAAAAATCCCGATTTCTTTTTCTCCCCACCTTCAGATTCAAGTTTGCTAATATTGACTTTTGTAGAACTATTACTGGTTGCTGCCGCTCTGATTATGGATACAAAACTCTTCAGCTTCAAGCCTGTATATCCCGTGATAAGAATGTAACCAAGCTCCATACAAATTAAGGTACTTGTCTAAATCCTAACTTGCTCCGAAGCCTTCAAGCGCATGCATTGTGAAGACCATATCAAAAATTAGGTGATAGACAAACTGACTTGACCTTGGACTAAGAACCAACTTGCGATATTCCACAGCCAATATTTAATGCAAGATGCAACGTAAAAACTCACCACGGCGCTTGAAAATTAAAGATCTGATATTTTGATGGCTGGCAACCTGTCAAAAGTGAGTACTCTTAAGAAAAGTATCTTTAAAAACATAAAATAGGCTCAATTCCAGATTTTGGTACAACTGCTTCAGTCTAAAGTAATGGGAAAACAAGGTTTCTCTAATCTTAAGTAAACGTTCATCACTAATGTCAATTATCCACATCCACGAAAAGAGAATATTGCATGTACTGTATTTTGATACACGGTAGAAACCCTAGCTTCCGAACTCAAACTCTATTAGCATCTGAAAACCTGTCTGAGCTTGCTATCGATAATGAGAGCAGAGCCTACTCCGCCAAAAAACATCTTGGGTGAAGATCGCCAATCACAAACATTTCGAAAACCTCTCAAAGCAGGGCACATGATAAGCCTGCAACTTTGGATGAACTACAGAATTTCTTGACGTCCTCCCAAACTCAGCGTTCATGCAATTAGCCACTCATTGTTTGCGGAATTGCGGGACGCTGTCCTTACACATTTGCTAAATATCCATGACTAGCCTGCACTATCCTGTCAATCGACGACCCATTCATTGTACATGGCCCTCTTCTGCCTCTTCTTTCGGATGTAATACCTGTCGAATCCGTCTGACCTTGCAAGATCTCGTCGCCCTTGTTCACATTTCGAACTTTCTTCCTCATGGCATGTGAACCAGAAGTATAACTACTACGTGTACACTTTGCACAATGTAGTGTCCATCCCCGCATGTTCTTGTACGGTGTGATTTGTGTTTCTAATTCATTTGAGATGACAACATAGGAATGGTGACCCTATGTCATTTACTTCATTATGACCTATTAGCATTCAACTAAAAAAAATATGTATGAGACTTGTCAGCTACATCTAGATAATAATGAAATGCTTAGAAAGTTAATAAACAAGATGTTCTTCTGCACTCTATATTTTTGAACCAAAAAACACAATAAGATAGTTCAAAATAGTATTATATGGCTGTTATATACAACATGATATACATTTCTAATTGTAATTTTATTAGACTATAATAATTAAACTTAAGCTCAATATGAGGGTTTATCATCATTTGAAATTAGATTTAAGATTTGATCTCATAAAATACAAGTGATTAAGAAGAATGCTTTTAAAAGACAGAAATATATGTGTATCTAAGCTTTTTCAAACATCTATTCTCAATGTAAAATTGAAGTTAGTGTAGTTTTTAGAAAAAAAGGTTATACTTATCAGATTTGACTCAAATTTCAAAACATGAGTAAAAACACACTTACTACAATTAAGAAAAATAATTTTCTCTTTTTCGTTTTAAATCATTGCAAAAAAAAACCTACATTAAATATTTGAAAATATTTTTTATAAATTCCAAATATCATAAAATATAACAACATAAATACTTCACAAAAAATATAAAAAATATAGAATAAAAATATTTTTAATATTATTCTAGGTATGAATTTCTCAAGACTTAAAGTCTTTTAATGAGTATACACAATCTCTAACTTCTCTCATATGATTTTTGATGAAAATTCAAGATTTAACAAAAATCAATAAAGAAAAAATTACAACAGCTTATAGTTTATTATAATTGTGATTTATTGAGATAATTTTTGCCACACGTTTCAAATTAATAAATTTCAGGTCACACATATTAATATTTTTATTTTAAATCTTTATTTAAATTATTTATAAATTTCAATATTTTAACAGGTTATAAAATATAAATGAATTAAATTAAATTATATGTTGGCTAAAGTAATATAATATTTTATCACAATTTTGTTTAAAGTTTGGAAATGTAATTGAATATAATATAATGTAGTATTATGATTGATATGCAATATATTAAAAAAAATTTGTGAATAGTAAATTCTAAATATATTTTGAGGATTATAATCTATTTTAAATTTGAAGAAAGATTAATCTAACATTCTCGCATAAACATAATTTTGCTTTCAAAAAGCATGAATTTTTTATTTTCATAAAAAAAATATCTGGTGAAAAATTATACCTATGACATATTAATATCTTATTGCAATTATTTCATACATCAAAATTTTAATTTTTATTCATATAATCATGTTGTTAAATATTTAACAAACATAGAAATTGATCTTTTATTAAAAATTCCAAATCATCAAAGCATTGATTTTTTAAACTATTAATTGAAGTTGTGATGTAAAAATATCATAATGAAAATATCATAGTGTCATGATCGGCTATCCATTTCCTTATAAAAGAATTGATGACATTTTTCCCTTCTCAATGGCATATATCAAATATTGAATTGGCAAAAGTTTGAAATGTGTTGTACAAAAAGTCACGTTACTTCAAAGTGTGTCATGTTACATTTGTGAAGCACATGTTGAATGTACTTGTTTTAACTTGACTCTACCATAAATTTTGTTTCATCAAATTACTCCAAGTTACATTCCTAATCTGCTCTTATACTTACCTAAATCTTTTATCTTCAGTTATATTCAGCACTAACACTACCTTTTTCCATAGAAGCATTCCACTCAAGTTTATTGATAGAGTCTTGAGTTATTCTACAAGAATTACTTTTTCTTTCAATATCAACATAATGCAATCCCCATCCTCTGTATCAATATCACGATCTTCAAGAATGGATTAATTAGCCCATAATCATTCCTTGCAAGAGTCATACTGATCCAGTTTGATAATTCCTAGTAGCGAATCTGTTTTTTGTACAGATGTTATCCTAAAATTTCATGAAGACATTTGCATGGATTTGAATCAACTCACGCATTCAACAAATTACCCTCAAAGCAAAAGTTGGTCTGAGGTAATGAAGAAGTTCCATGGTAATCAACTTCCCATATCTTACCATTCACTTCTTGACTATCCATATTAAATGAAAATGAATTTTAGCAAGAGCTCTTGCTTGTGATCGATCATCTTCTTTCCTCACGGGTGATGGGTGGTTATTTTCAACCTAATTTGAAGCCATAGCTCAAAGGTGATCATTTATCATGCTCCCATCTCTAGGCCTTAGTGCAATCTTGGCGAGCTCTTTATTCTCATTGATCACTACTTAACTTCACATTTGCAACTTTTCAAGTTGTTACAATCCAGTCATGATATCTTGCAAAGTAGAGGTTCCAGATGTTTGTAGTTTCTTTTTTCTCCTCTTAATTGGCTAAATATTATGTAGTCTAGGTAGCGGTTTATCAAACAATTCAACCATTTTCTCTGTAATTAACTTTCTGACTCTGAATTCTAGCTCCGTAGTGTTGGATCTAAGCAGGTGCTAACGTACTACATTTACCTTTTTGTATCAATTGTGGAATTCCAACTCAAAATATACGCATAAGCTCTGACTTTCTCTGTTTGTAACAACCGCACAAAGATGACTACACAATGTGGGAATCTGTCATCCTTAAATTTTTATTACAAGAACCGTTGTTGTATGTGTGAATAACTAATAGAATTAGCCAATGAATTCATCATGGTTATTCTAGTTATGACTAAATCTATCTAGTTATGATTACGTTTAGCTATGATCTTTATACATGGCAAAATAATTAATATCTAGCTAGTTGTAGAAGAATTGAGTGAGCATTTCTATTTTATCTTCTATCAAAGTCTAGATTCTAACGATAGAGTACTTTGACTACATATTAATTTTCATTGATTTAATTTAATATATATTATTTTATTGATTGTACTAAGTCTAAAGTTGACTTAGTGATTAGGTTAGATATTAAGACACAAATAATGATGAAAAGTATAATTCTTAGAATTTTTAGAGTTATTGCAAAGAGGAAAGGATTACTCGTCATCTCATCAAAGTTTATATTTTGCAACAAAACGTTGCTTTTGAAAGGCTAAATCAAAGAGTGTTGGAGAAAGTACATAGTATGTCGAGTCAATAAGATTTACCATGTGATTTTTTGGGCCAAAGATGTCAACACTTCAATCTATTTGATAAATCTTTCTCCTTCTAGTGCAATCAATTTCTTGACAGCTTTTGAATTTAATCACAAATGGATGGTTTATTATAGTTGTCTAAAAAAATTTTGTTGCACTAGTCATACTCCCATATCCAAAAGTAATAGTTATAATGTAGTTACTACATTCAAGAAGTGTCATTATTTTGAATATGCTAATGGTATGAAGGGTTTTAGGCTATAGGTTCTAGTAGCTTGTAAAATTATTGTTAGTAGGGATTTTTTTTTATGAGCATAGATATAGTAAGAATTTTCAGGCTTATCGACAAGGAAAAATTTCAGTTCACGATTGTTGTTATTGTTGTTGTGGGGAAGTTTGATCATTATGTGATTAATGATCTGACACAAAGTAGAGCATCAATACAGATGAAGAGGTTTTTAAGTAACAAAAACTAGAGTAGCAAGTTATTGTTGGTGAGCCTCACGTATCTACACTAGATGATAGAATTCAACTAGAATCTTCTACAATGAGATCATCAAATTGTGCTAATAGAGCTTTTGTCAAGTATGATGTATGGGTTAATTCATTCATTCTCAAAGATTGTAACATTGATACGGATGAGAATGATATTGCATTGATCTTGGAAGAAGAAAAACCTTCTTTTTAAAAGTAAATTCAAGCTTTGGTCAATAAGTTTGAATGGATTGCTGCTATGAAGCGTGAGATGCAATTGATAATTGATAACGAGACTTGAAAGCTAGTTGAGCTTCTTAAGTATCAAGCGTTGATTGATTGCAAGTGGGTGTACAAGCTAAAGAACAATTCAGTAGCTGACAACACAAGAATCTTCAAAGCCAGGTTGATGGTAGAATGTTTCACACAGGAGGAAGGTGTGAAATTTAATGAAATTTTTTCATTTGTAGTAAAGTTTACTACAATTCATGTGATATGTGTACTCTTTGTGATATTTAATCTTGTTATGGAAGATATACAAGAGATAACAGCTTTCTTTTATGAATATATAGAGGAAAACATCTAGATGAGACAACCAGTTGACTTTGAGATGAAAGATGAAAAGAGTTTGATTTGTAGATTGTTGAAAACATTATATGGACTGAAGCAAGCTCATATGCAATGGAACATTTGTTTTGATGAATTCATAAAGGCACAAGGGTTTTCACAAAGTATGTATGATACTTGTGTCTATATAAAGAAGTTGAATGATGAAATTTTCAATCTCATTATTCTAGTACTTTACTTATATGACATGCTCATCTTGGCAAAGAATCAATCCAGCAATGATAAATGCAAGAACCAATTGAAAATTCTATTTAAGATGAAGGATTTGAGGAAGTCAAAGAGTATACTATGTTTGGATACTTGTAGTGTTTTTGAAAAGAAGAGTCTATGATTGTATCAGGTCAAGTTTATTTGTTGTATACTTGATATGTACAACATTGCTGATTCTAAAGAAGTATGAACTCTTTTGGTAGCACATTTTAGAATTTTTGTTGCTCAATGTACTACCGATATCATTGAGAAAATAATGAACAAACTGTGAGCAACTTCATGTATTTGATGATGTGCACTAAGCCTATTATTGCTCTAGCAATAAGCAAGGTGAACATACACATTTTGAATATACATAAGGTTCACTTGGTTGTAGTGAAATGGATTCTCAAATATTTGAAGAGTATTATGAATTATAGTCTAATGTTTGATGATTTATTACACAATGTGAAATACTTGTCATGCTACTTT